TAACAAATCATTTATTGGTTATTGTCCAACAGTGTATCTGATTTATTAGCCAATTAAAAGAAAGAAATAAGAGACAAAATAAAGTTTCCTATATACAATATATATGAAGTATATACAGTATATCCTATATACTTTCGCAAGGCACTGTGTGTAACACAAACTATACACACATACATACATACAATGTAAGAAACATAATAATAAAAACTATGCTGCAGTAGTAGGAATATAGACTATGAAAAAAATAGAAATAGACTATATGTATCTATATATGCGAGTATAGAGTAGAAATATAGAACTATGGCAACTGATACATAAAAATGTACTGTATAATAATAATAATACAATTGTGGGAACGTTGCATCCTTATTTAAAAAAAAAAAACATCACCGCACGCCACTGAGTACAGTGTAGTTTTACTGAGCAAACAGCAGGAACGGCGAGAAAGACCGTGGCAGCTGCCAGAAACGACTAGTGGCAGCTGGGGATGCCACCGGAAGTGGCTCTGCGACCTGCCGCTGCTCTCTAGTTGAAGTAGCCCAATTCCGCGAGAAAACACTTGTTCAGCTAGTATGTTTCTATAGTGACACAGAAGCCCTGCTTGCTATCAGCATAGTTAAAAAAATAAAATAAATCCCCTAATAGAATGAAGCAGCGTTATCATGTTAAATTAATGTGTAAAAAGACCAAATATTCAAGATTGCAGGGACCAAATATGCTAGAATTAGTCATTAAACCCCCATATTAAAATCAGTCTTGCTAAAGAGTGTAATTACATGCAATGTAATTAGTTTGTATTATATATTTTAGTTTAGTATATATTACAACAGCAAATAAAGAGAAAAATTATGCATTCAGTTACAAATAAGAGAGGAAAACAGAAATACGAACAGGGAGAATCTCCCTCATGCGGTGACACAAGGACAAGACCCTTGTCTGATCGTCCTTAAAACAAGAAGCGTTTTGCTGCTTTCTGCTGGACAAATACAGCATTGCAGCACATGTTTATTGCTGTTTCATTAGTCTCCAAGTTGATTATTATTTAAGTGTATTTAATTTATGTAATAAACATTCATCAGAATAGTTAACAATATAGTTTATACTATGGTGTAATCATATTTTATTGTTACATTGGTTAGAATAAAAAATAGAAGTAAAATCCACTTACAGTAATATTATGCATAATTTGCTCAAAAGCAACTAGATGTGTGAAATGTTACATTTATTCAAATTAGTCATGGGAATTAGTTTTAGTAAGTTTTTGTAAGTGTTTGAAGTGATCAGAGTTACAAAAAACATCAGTGCTTTTTGCTGAATATAACCTGCAGAGTTTCTGTATCAGTCTCCTTTAAGTTGTGTAACTTTACCGCCATCCTGAAATGAGGAGGAGTCCCGCTCATCAGCGCTGACACTTTATTGATATATCTGGAGAAAAAAAAACAGCTTTCTGATTTGTCACTGATTGTGTTTGATGATTTCCTCTGTTGTGTCTAATAAGGTAAGAGTGAGTGTCATTGGCAGCTGTGAGTCTCTCTCTCTCTTTAGGGGGCTGACAGGAGCCAGTTTCTTCAGTGTGTTTGAGAGAGAAGAGGACAAACTTGTGCTGACAGAGTCAAACACACGGTATGACAAGCAGAAGGAGATGGAGGGATGTCTGACACTCATTTTACTCGCCTCCATATTCACCATAACCACATCTGGTAAGTACGAACAAGATTGTAAAGAGGTTAAATTATATATGTTTGAATGAGCAGTTTATCTGTGATGGCCTTATATCACTAAAAGCTATATCTTATGACACTAGTTCATTCATTGTCAATGAAACTCTATAAACTATGTGAGCTTTACTAACAATTTAATGATTGACAGGATTATTTCTAATATTCTTGCGTCCATCTTGATATACAGTATCTATAAATGTTTTTATTTACTAACTTTTTTACATCTTATGTTTCTCAACGTTGCAATATTCTGCTTGTAGGTGATTTAAATCCCTTTCTCTCTTCCTTGTACAGATTTTGAGATTGTAAGGTTAGTTGATGGTAACAGTCCTTCTGCTGGTAGAGTGGAGGTTCTTCATAGAGGTCAGTGGGGAACAGTGTGTGATGATGACTGGGATTT